GGACGCTTGGTACCGCGAGTTTTCATCCCATGGTGTGTTGGAACGCCAGTGCTCCAATGCTTGGCTTGTCCTTTCGAGCTCTTCGCGTCTGGAGCACGAGGTTGGGTGTGTGAAGACGTTTTCGCACAAAGGCGGCGTGTTTGTGTGCGTGTGTATGTGCGCGCGCGCGGCGTGTGTTTTTTCCTACCGGGGTTGTTGGTGTTTCGGTTGAGGCTACGTTTTGGAGGGCACACACATGTTGACAGCGACAGCTTTGCACGCTTAGAGGTCCCGAGTTTCTGCCCCCATTGCCTACGCCGCTGGCGTGTGTCGTGTGGAAGATAGACACGCTGGCACCCTGCTGAGGTCGATGACCTCTTGCTGCTCCCGGTGCTGTATCTGCTCGCGATGATGACGTTGACGAACACGATTTATTGCGAAAGTGCTGGCGTGCTTTTCGACGACGATGAATGTACTGTGTTCCGTCTTGTCGAGTTTTTTATTTTTGATGCTTCGATTTCCCTTCACCACGTCCTTGTTCTGTGCTTGGTTCTTTTTTGTTGTTGATTTTCTCAGGAAGGAGATCGAGCGCGCTATCGACTGCGCAGAACGAGCGCTGGCGCTCGCGCCTAACCTCGAGTCTGCCCAGAAGTTGATCGTGAGCAGTAAATGTACTAGCAGGAGAGCAGCAGTTGACAACCGTAACTTAACACAGAAGCGCGAGTGGTCAACATAGACCGAAATTTCGTGTGTAGTAGGTCGATTGCTCCACAAACCAAGGGAGAGAGAGGCTGTTGCCGGAAAGGGCCCCGGTTGGAAATATGAATCTCGTCGAGAGCTAGTTTGCGTTCCCTGCTCGTGTCGTGTCCGCCAAGTTGAGCACGCTTTTGATTGTGGAGGATTCGGCTTAGATTGTCAAGCCTCACGGGGGGGTCGGGGGTTGCGACCACGTGCACTATTATTGCGGTAACTGATTACATATTGTTGTGCCGGTTGCGTTGACAAACACCATGGCAGTACGTGCATGCACGCAGTCGCAATGTTGGAATTCTTGGGTTTCGCGGAACTTTAGCACAAGGGCAAAACGGTATTTTTCTACGCCGCGGTTGTTGTGGTGGCCGACGGCCAGTGTTCCAGACAACACCACGGTAATTTTCTGCGCAGCGGTTCCATGACTTGACCGCAGTATTTCGGCTCCTGCTTCTTCCACCGCCGTTGTGATGCCGTTGTCTCTACTGCTGCTGCTGCTGCTGCTGCTGCTGCTGCTGCTGCCTCTGCTGCTGCCGCTGCTGCTGCAGCTGGATGCCCTCGAGCAAGGCCGACGGCAGTGGGAGGAGGCCCAGAGGAGGTGCGAGGTGTGGGCCCACAAGCGGGCCAACTGCGACTTCGAGTCGGGCAGGAATAACCTCGCGGGGTACGCGGAGGGCGGCGGCCCGCCCGAATTGTGTATCGCCGCCATGCACGCCTCGCTCCAGGAGGGGTACTGCAAGGCGTTGCGGTGAGCGGGGCGACGATGCCGGGGGGGGGGGGGGGAGGCGGGGGAAGACTCACGTGTTCTATGCCTCAGCTGTTATTTGGCCATTTTTACCACCCGTGTCTCCTCGAGAGGTCGAAGGGGAGGCCTGCAACAACGACCTCCGTCCTGTCCGTGGTGGTACAGTGGTGGCGCGAGGAGCCGCCGGGGGAGTGGACGCGCCCACTCGCGCACTCTCGATTAGCCCGCCCGCCCGCCCTGCTGTTTGCATTTTGGTGTGAAGTACCTGAACTAAAAGGCAGAACCTAAGCAGTAGGCCTTTGCGATTCAAACCGGAGCCTGGCCTGTCCCGACCACTCTCAGATCAAAACACTCCTCACTTGTTATGATCGCTTTTATTTCAGCGGGGGACTCCTGCTTTCGTGATTCTGTTGCCACCCCCCACCCCCCCCCACCCTATGTGTATGTATTGCTGTAATCTTGCCAAGGGGTGTTTTGTGGGGTATTTCGAGTGCTCCGGGAAAATTCTTGGGTATTCTGTGCTCGAGCCATTTGATAATGGTTGGGTAAGACTATGTACTGCTCAATCGCGGAGTGCAGTTAAGCAAAGATGGAACATTCTTTTGGGTATGGTTGAGTATACACTGGTACACCGGGCATGGTTTGGGTTCATCGGTTTTACGTCAACTCTCTCTCGATGCGGCGTTTTCTTGGCAGCGAGAGCTCGGTTAGTAACGGGAGCAGTAGGACCGATTTGATGCTTGATACGTGGTTTATATTTTAATTTTTTGTTCAACTCTACCCCGAGCGTGACCATCACACACCGGCTGCAAAACACAACCTTGACCCTTTTGTGCGTGCGCGTGCTCATTGCCGTCCCCTGTTGGTGTCGGTTGTTGTACAGCAACGCCGGTCAGACGGACAAGTTCAAGGAGGCGCTGGCAGCGGCTACAGGCACCGGCGTGCCGTGGGCCATGTCGATGACCAGGAGGCGACAGGACGTGATGGACAAGAAGGAGGTAAGAGACTGCAGAAACAAGACGCAGCGATTGTTATGGAGAGATGGGGGGGAAGCGTAGAGATTGTACTTTACACGCAGCTAGGCAGCTGTGAGAAGTGTGCACGAGCTGTTGTTGGTGTATTCGCGTTAACGAATTGTCCTGGTCTCTGCCCTCTCCCCGTTCTCTCTCTCTCTCTCTCTCTCTCTCTCTCTCTCTCTCTCTCCTCTTTTCAGCGAGCTGGCAAAGCGTACGCGAGCAACAGGTACCGCCTCGCGCACGAGCTCTACTCGGAGGCGATCTGCGTGGACCCCCAGGACTACTACACCAACGCCCTCCTCTTCGCCAACCGCGCGGCCGCCCTGATGAACTTGGCCAGGAACAAGGACGCACTCAAGGACTGCATCGAGGCGAGTCATTTGTTGTTGCTGTTGTTGCTGCTGCTTCTGCCGCCATTCTAGCTGCTGTTGATGCTGGTCTGGGGCTGCTGCTGCTCGTGTTAAGATCCGAACGTTGAGCGGTTTCCTGTATGCCCATTGACTCTCTCTCTCATCCCACCCTCCTCATGAACACTCCCCTCCCTCCTTTCGTGTACGTGACTGAGCTGGGGGAAGTAGAAGGAAAGCACAGGGAGATGTTTGAGGTATAGCGTAGCCAGGATAAGACGTTAGCTGTACTGGGGCATAGGAAGTGGGTTGAAAAGGCGGGAAGTGATATCGGTAGGATAGATAGGGAAGACATTTTTGAGCCACCTTTGGCAAACTAGGAAGGAACGATTGGCCATCGGTGATCGGTCCTGTGGGAACAATTCTCCGTCCTCTCTAGGACGCGTGGTCAATGGTCTAACCGCTAAGGCATGCAAAACATGAGAGTACGCCCCCCCCCCCCCCCCCTCGTCCTGTTCAGGCGTTGCGTCTGAAGCCCAACTACCCGAAGGTGTTGCTGCGGAAGGCTCGGCTTCACAAGCGCCTGAGCCAGTGGGACCTTGCCATCAAGGTAACGCGACTTCATTTAGATTGGGAGGGCAGAACAGGCGTGCGACTCCACCCCCCACCTTACCCTGCGCATCCATCCAGTCTGGTCCTATGGATACCTAGGAACCAGACCACAGTTGTAGTTGTTGTCTTCACATTAAAACCGTTCTGTTCTCTCTGCCCAGTACCTTCTTCTAAAGAGAAGAAATTACGGTAGGTGGCATGACGTAAAAGAGGTATCACACCCCCTGGACCATTTTTCATTTTTCAAAGTTCGATTTTTCCACAGCAACAAATAGTGGCGACGTCGAAAATGGCGGAAGGCGTTGGAACCGGCTCGTCGAGAGCTCTCCGAAAATAATTGCTTTTTGTTCTGGTACAATCCTGTTTGTCGTCGGAGTACTCGCGCTTTGAAAATCATTGCAAGGGGTATGGTATCTTTGTGTCACCTACCGTATTCCACGGGTACGGTGCACGTTTTGCGAGCGCACCCCCCGGGTCCCCTCCCTCCATCCGCACTTCACATACACGCTCTCCTTCCCGTCTCTTGTATCTCCAGGACTACGAGACTTACCGCAACAGCGTGGGAGTTCTGCACTCCACGTGGGAAGAGGCCGCGAGCGAGCTCGATCAGTGCCGGCTGAGCCAACGCAGGGCCAACGATGAGGAGAGGAGGAGGGAGGCGGAGGCGAGGGCGTACGAGCGGGGGGACTACTTCTACGGCAGCAGCTCGCGCAGCGGCGGCCGCGGCGGCGGGGGGAGCCGGCACGGGCTGTTCGACGACTCTGACGATGACAAGGACGACCACGACCCTTTCAAGTTCTTCTCGGGTGAGGGGGGGGGTAGGGAGGGGATAGAGAGAGCCAATAGAGAGAGAGAGAGAGAGAGAGAGAGAGAGAGAGAGCGCTTGGCATTGGCTTCTCTTTTGGAGAGACTAGCGGAACAATAGCAGTACTAAGAATCTAACCACGTACCTGTAGTCACGAAACCTTGTGTGGTTGCACTCGGCGCTGAGGAACCGTTTCCGTTCTCGTTCCTCTCCACCTGGTATACGAGTAAACCTGTTGTATTGCTTCCTTTTCTTTGTCTTCGTACCCCGCTCCCGCGCTGGCCCGATGCCCCCCGCCTGTGTCGCCTTCTCGTCGCCCCCTAGTTTGTACCATGTCGTCGTTTACATCAATCGCCCATTCCCTTTGGCGTTCTGTTGGTTGTATTTCTACACAGGTGGGAGTTCTTGGAGCCGGAGAGGGAGAGGTACCGGCGGCAGGTCGAACTACGACTCCCCCCCTCCCCCCGGTCCGGTGCCTACATCCGGGCACTACACGACGCTGGGGATAAAGTCGACGGCGACGACGGCAGAGGTACGAAGATGTTTGCAATCGAGGGGGAGGCGAAAGGGAGCTATTATTGAGGCGGAGGAGCGGAACGTGGCGACGAAGCACGTGTGCTACAGCTATGATGCCGTGGTATTTGGTGGTTACAGCCCGGGGGCACCCAACCAACCTATCTAGTTTGGCACAACAACCGCAAGATGATGACCGCCTTCGGGCTCATCCTTGTAAAACTTAGCCTGGGCCGGTCGGCGGAAACCCGGCATACATGTCGTTCCTTCCCGGCATTGCGAGGTCAATGGTCTGACGACTACGGCATGCGTTTACATGGGTACACCCTTCTCCTCCATGTCCCCGTCTGGTGTTTTTTTTTCTCTCATCCTCCGACGACCGACCCCCTCCGACGTCTCCCCCGTGTTGGGCGTGGCAGGTGAAGAAGGCGTACCGCAAGCTGGCGTTGCAGCACCACCCGGACAAGAACCAGGGCAACGAGGCTTCCGCCAACATCTTCAAGGACGTGACGGCAGCCTATGAGGTGAGTGACTACTGCTGTATGAGCCAGAGACAAGAGAAGAGAAGAGGAGAAATACACCAGGGACCGTGTTCGTTCATGGGTCGGGATTGTTGGCGATCGATGAATGCTGCTGCTACTGCTGCTGTATGGAAGTTGATGCCGGCGGTCGGTTTCAACATGTTCCGTCGACAACCGCGGTGTTTGTTTGCTGTGCGCTCATGTGTGTAGTCTTGTTTGCGCGCGTGTTTTGTGTGTTTTGTTGGTTTCCTGCTCTGCTGGCGCTGCTGCTTGTCGCTGATTTCCGCCAACGCTTTGGCGCCTTGGGTGCCCCTGCCTGTTGTCTGCCGCTGCCGCTGCCGCTGCGGCTGCCGCTGCTGCTGCTGCTGCTGCTGCTGATGCTGGTGATTATGCTGCGGCTGCAGGTGCTTAGCGACGAGAAAGAACGCCGCACGTATGACGTGAGCCTCCGGTTGGCGGGGCAGTCCCCCGGTTGGCGGTGATGGTGATGGATGCAAAACAAGCGTCTTCGGGGTGATGATCCCTTGTTGAGGGGAGGAGGGGGATGTTGATGCTTCGTGGGAGCTCGGTCGGTTGGTGCGGGGGAGGGGATGTGAATGCTTTGTGGATGCTCGCTCTCCCTGCTTGTCGAGAGAGGAGGACGTGGGTGCTGTGTGGATGCTCTCTCGGTGTTGTCGGGGGAGAGGATGTGGATTGTTCGTGGATGCTCGCCCTGTTTGTTGCGATACGTAGGGGGGCGTGGATGCTTTTGTGGAAATTGTGTGCGTCAGCGAGGGCGCGGTACTCGTATTGGTCGGTGTAGGCCGACGGCTGTGGAAGTGCTTCACGCCGTGGCTTGCGTGTCGAGCTATGCATATGGAGCTCTTTGTTGAAACCGTCGTTGGTGGAAGATGGCGTGGTCTCATGACATGTTCGAACAAGGCCGTCATGGCGCCTGAGTAGCTGTAGGCATCCCCAACACCTATCTCACCCACCCGCATGATGATGATATGGCGGCAGTTTTTTTTTGCTTGTTTTTCACTACTTGTCTCCTTGATCGGGCCGAGCGGGGAAGAGGCGCGCTCTGGTTGCGTCGGTGCGATCGCCAGAGACAGCACAATTCCTGGTATCATTGTGTACGTGGGTCTTGAACATATGCTTGTGTGTTCTATAGTTTTTTGGTGCGATTTGGGGCAACTGAACCAAGTGAGCTGGCCGGCTTTCGATGCGTTTTTTTTTTTTTTCCCCGCTGGTTTCAAGCATAGTCTTGAGCATTCGCAAAAAGTGAATCGTGCTGTCCCGAAAAAGTGCTGTGTGCCACATGCAGCTCCGGGCTGTTCAGAAATAAAGAGAGCTATTATTCGAGTTCTCGCTCCTTTAATTTTTTAGATCGCCCACCCACACGTAGCACCGGCGAGATCTAGAGTATGATGTTTTGGCAAGCAAACAGGAAAAGGAGGGTGTTGTCTAACGTTTGAGAGTGGAGTGCAAGATGGTTTTTTTATAGGTGTAAGGCATTTTTGTTGGGGATGGGGATGGGAGGGTGGGTGAAATGGAAAAAAAAAAGTTGCTTTGCGTAAAAGGGTGCACATATTTGTTTACCACCGTTCCTTTCCCCCAAGTTCAGAAACCGCAATGTGAGGAGAGAGGCGAGTGTCTCTGTGTGTGGGCATGTGGGCGAGAGGTTCCTTGCGGCACACAGCAGCAGTGTTGGGCCATTGCCGGGTACCATGCGGGAGGGGGAGGACAATAATGGCATGTGTGTTTTTGTGGTTTCGGTTGTGTGCATGGAACGAGAGGCAGTGTGATGAGGTAGGAGGAGTTGAAGGAGATCACTGATCAGAGAGGGTGTTTTGAATTTGGTTGAACAATGCCAGATCATGCGATCATGGTTTGTGTGGTCGTGAACGAACGTTTTCGGCAAAGTAAGTGACGGGAGTAATCCGAGGCCTTTCGGACAGGACGAGGAACGAACGCGCGCGTGTTTTCGCGTCTTATCGTGCATGCCCGAGGTTATTGTGGACGGTACATCCACTCGAGTTCACCAGAGTATGGCATGGTGTGGCAACAGACCCTTCCCCCAGAGCATTCCGACAACCTTTGCTGGGAGTCGGCTACCGCTCGCGGGCGCGTGTTGTCCGTGCAACAACTCTTCCATGCCTTAGAAGGCAACTTGTGGGCATGGTCGCGCGGACCCGCGTTGAAGGCTCCGCCAGACTCGCACTCTCCTCTATGTGGTAACCCTTGTCTTCACTTCACCTAAATCTCACGCGAGACAAAGCTGCCGTCCGTCAGTAGCGAGCTAAAGACAACTTCCTACCGCACCACCTTGGGGACCGACCGTTCTTCAATCTCTTCATGTTACGAGATGTTTCTGATTTAAAGGGCCTCTTGAGTTCTCCTTACTACTTCCTTACTGCAGGGTGGATCGTAGAAAAAAGGCGACTCTCTTCTCTCTCGAGTCATGATTAATGATCATGATTCCATTCTGAACGACGTTAGCCACAAGTCGATCAAGTGATTTCCACCAACGTCAGAAAATTCTAGGAGTCTTCCCCGAAAGCCACGAAACGCAAAAACCACCAGGTGCTATGCATACGGTACCCAACAAAAATGGGTTGTTGATGTCGCTGAACTCCTGCGCCCCACACCAATAATCGTGGCCCAATTTCTCAGTGAAGCCAGACCAAAATAATTTGACACACGACTGTGAACGTTGATTCTCCCAAGTACTTTTCATCGCAAGATCGCTGGAGACGAGAAGGGTACGGCCGTCACTTACAGAGATGAAACTCTTGAGGACCGCGCACACAACCCGGCAACGCGTATCACACGGGATCAGGCGCGACTAACTGCTGCTGAGGAGGAGGTGGCCGCCATAACAAATAAAGGGTCACGCCTGGAGATCGATTCCAGCCTTTCCACGCGACGACTCCGATCGATTCCAGCTTTTTTACACGACGGCTACGATCGACTCCAGCCATTTCACACAACGACTCCTTGTTGAGTGGTATTTCCCGGCAAGATCGCTGAAAAAGAAGGGTCTCATCCGTAGAAAATGCCCAACCCTTGAGACTGTTTTGCTCTACGTTTGACCCCTCTCCCCATCCCTCCCGAATCTGCTTCTCACCGAGCACAACCAGCATTGACCAAACGGGCCACAAACAAGGTTCCCTCGCCCAACCGCGACGGCACGCATATTTATAGGCCTCTAACTGCACCACGAGACCCATGGACCAACAAGGGTACAACCCTTATCCTTCGTTTGCATCATCACCACCACCGTCCCTGGACGAAATCTTCAGGGCTCAATCTTCGAAGCTTGGTATGATACTAATAATCTACAGAGTCCGCAACTTTTGAAAGCCGTAACATTTATCCGTGTACAGAGCCAGCGATACATGTTGCCGGGTTGTTGTTGCCTGGACACCCTGCCAAATGCCCCTCTTCTTCTCACCGCCGGGCAGACTAGGAGACACACACCAATCCAGCACGCACGCTTGTGGCGCAATAAACAAAAATCTCGACCATCGTGCCTAGGAACCTCTGTCTTGTGGTCGGCTTTCGTCCACCGGGTATATCCATCTCTGGTAGAGGTACACGACGAAAACCACATCGTCACGGAAACACGACTACAAGCAGCCGCGCCACAGAGACAAGCACCAACACCAGCACCAGCACCAGCAGCGGCAGCGGCGGCGGCCAAGGCAGTTAAGACGGACACGAGACACGGCGGAGAGGCAGTCGAGACAAGGTAGCCAGGAGACGGTTAGTTTCGGCAACAAGGGGAACGTTTTCTCCAAATTAGTCATCTTCGCGTCGCACCAGTAGAGTACTACAATTCGTTTCGACAAGGTTTACGTTTCCCCGCCTTTTTTTTGTCCCTCTCACCGACCGAGCGGTGCATCGTGTGCCCATCACCGGCGGAACTTTGTGTGTCGCTTCATTGCCGTAGGCATGACGTAACACAACACACACCCTGATCCGATCTTCATAAAGCTCAGCTACTCCACGACAGAAGAGGATATATAAATGAAACGATACAGCAGTTGTGGGAAAGCTCTCCACGACATGGTGCCAACGCTCGCTGCGATTGGCGGCACCGCCACGCTTTCCGCCGTGGAGAAAATCGAGCCTTGAAAAATCGGGCCGGGGTGTGTGATATCTTACGTCATGTCGCCTACGTTGAGAAACGATTTTAGATTGAGTGCTGAAAACTGTTGCAAGCAGAGAGGAAAAACAACTCGAAGATACAGCCCACAACAACGCCTTAGGCCTATCAACTCCCGGTCATTGGTTGCCAAGTGGACCAAAAGATTATATGATTCTCCCGACAACCTTGGACGGCGGTAGTGCGCCCCTATTGTCTTCTTCTTGTTTCGCCCTTTATTCTCCCTTACCAGGCGGTGCATCGTCGGCATTCGTATCACGAACGCGAAGAGGTCGTCGATCACCGTGTTGAGGCTGCGGTAGCACAGGAACCGCCATGGCAGGTGTGCCACGCTCTTGAGCTTGTAGTTGATGTACAGCTGCGGCGTCATTAGGACGAAGCCAAAGGTGTACACGAATGCCTGTTTCAAGTTCGAATAGGGGGGGGGGGGGAGGGGGGTTCTGGTTATGAGGGAGGTGTGCCCGGGAGGGAGGGGGGGGGGTCCTGAGGGGTCATCCGGACGAAACCGAAGGGGGACACAAATGCCTGTTTCCAGTCCCTATTCGGGGGGGGGGGGGGGGGGGTTTTCCTCACATCGTGGTACTGGTGGGCTTTGGGGCCGGGAAACCGATTCTTCGTCCCAATGCCTTGAAGCCAAGCCCGCTGCCGGGGGCATCGCACTTTGAAACCTTTGCTCTGTTGGCCCGATCACTGCCATGGAGGGGGCAAAGGGCCGGTACGGTGGTCGGTCACGGGCGAGTAGGGTGGGGAGGGAACAAACTTGATGCCTCAAACAAAGCCTTCGCACCA